GTATGTACGCTCTGACGTAATCTCTTTCGCGGTGCAGCTGCAAAAAAGCCTGCAAACCTTCTATCCGTCTTCTCATTCCTGCCGCTAGCCTTCCAAGTGCTGCTACCAGCGCTTCTCCGTCACCTATAGTGTGCATCATATTGTTCACAAGACGATGAATTTATTCCGACTATAAGAATCTATTGAATCAACTTACGGTTAAATTAAAAATACAGTCAATTTCCCATGATTCTGAAAAGGCTGAAATACTGATTATTTTACCTATGCAAAGTCATCCACATAGGATCGGAATAAATAATTTTTGGAAGCCTGTGATCAGCAGTCTGCGGGATCAGCGCCACACCTGATCAATGCATTGATGCATCAACCCTTCCTTCGACACTCTTTTGTTTCTCAAGTTTCGAGTGCCGAATGCAGCACGCGCAGCGTGTTTCCAATTTCTGCGGTCTATTAGCCCCACGTAGCCGATATTTGCGCTTATTTGACCTGATATTTATATGATAATATTAGTGTCCCAATCCGAATGAGGGAGCTCATGTAATCAATATCATCGAAGTCGAACCAACTGAGACCAACCACCCTCCAAGTTACTAGATCGTCCCGGACTCGCTCCATATTCACACGTAATAGTGCAGAAGAGCAGGGAACTCTTATATACTTATTTGCAAGTGTCACTCGTCAAAACCCGATGAGCTCCATCGATCACCACCTCAACCTCTTTCCTCCTCTTATTCAAGTTGGACACGCCGAACAGTTCATCCAGTCGGGAAAGACACTTTTATCTGCTCAATCACCTTTGAACCAGTCGTACGCTGTATTTCCATCTGCCCGAGTAGGTTTCACGTCGTCAAATTGCTGCAATGAAATCCCAATTCATAATTTGTGTTAGAAAGATGCCCCGAGCATAAAAGCCAGCGCTGTGGAAGAGCAGCCCATATTCTTCGCGAGCAGTGAAACTTCGCCATCATCTGAAAGACGATTGGTGTGTTCGTACGGTCTATACTATATCGCACGCGTTCATGTTTGGATAGTTCATCGGAGATACATCCATCATATTTGCTGCGTTACAAAACTTGACCAACACGGCTCAAAGCCGAGGACAGGAATGGTACTAAGATCGATGACTTATTTGTCATATACACTAATCCCATGCTACATTAGGTTACACAGTCAAGAAACTCATAATGTGATCAGAAAGCTAACCCTGGATTATGTCAATTTCACCAGAGAGTGCTGGATACACACCTCGGTGAGTATTTGCATGTTGTCTCACCATGAGGTGTTGATCGGAAGATAGCAAACGTCCGTTCAGTCTCAGGGCTCCTCCCAATTTTCCGGTGATCATTATCGCAGCTTATACACGTGTCTCGCCCTATTTGCTGTTTTATACGTACCCGAGTACGGGTACGAAGACGCACCAGTAGGTGACGATTTAATGGAGTGGTTGAATGTCCACTTCATCGAACCTTCCACGGAGGAGGGCGATCACCTATCGGGTCTAGATCGCCCTTGGGAAGACGAGACATTCTGGCCGTATCTTGTCAGGTAGGATCCTATTTTCATGATACTCAACAAGCTAACATCGTACAGGGTGACTTTGAGGGGTCTTTCCAAAGCCGCAACCTTCTTCCTCGCAACACTATCAACTCACCCGTCCGACAACCTTCGCCGGCTCGCTCAACGGTTGTCCCCATTGGTTCAATCTCAGCCTCACCTTCAGTCTTTTGAGGCGGAGCGTGATTTTGCATATGCTTCTCACCGATGGAAGGATAAGGTGAAAGCTCTGCGAATTGAACTAGACAGTGTCTCTGAATCTGATCGACATGATGGGATCGAGAATTGGTGGGATCGTTTGAGTGACATTGTTGGTATACTAGAAGGACGCAACGAAGTCATCCGTCGGGTCTGCGAAGATCTTGGCGCAGACTGGAGAGAAATTTCTGTCTCGTGGGGCGTATTTGCTGATGCAAGGCTACGAAGACAGGATTTACCGTACGTCACTCTCTTTCAAGACCGAGTTTATGCTGACATCCTTAAAGTGAGGTCGCCTCTCAGGTCCTTGATGACATGCCCCAAGATCCGACGAATTTGGAGGATATGGTACATGCAGCACTGTTCAGCGGTGACCCTGCCAGAGCATTGTCCCATGCGGCCCAACTCGACCCCTGGCTTGCTGCGCATATGGCAGATTTAATGCAAGCATTATCTTTAATCGAAAAAGATGCAAATGAGGAGTATGTTAAGGTCTTTTACTGGGGATAACAGTGCTTATACCTTCTGCAGCTCAGGTCTCAATGTCAGAGATTTTTATGTGCTCGGTTATGCACAGTATCTTCATGCTGATCCTGCGCTTTGGAGAATTACTGTGGCATACATGTTTTCTTGTGGAGAAACTGGCGTCAGAAGTGCCGACGAAGTGTTAATGCACGTTCCGCTCAAATTGCGCTCCGTCGGATCAATTACCCATGGCCAAGGGGAGCAAAACGGCGCAGATAACTCAAAGTCTGGAGATCTTGCGGGTGTGGTAAAAGATATCAATGCGACATGCTATGAATATCAGCGCGAGGAAGTTCGAAGAACTATTTGTCGCGTATGCATCATCTCTAATTTACACCAACTATGTTTCACCGTGTTTTTCACACAGATAGCCGCTCAGACCTTCGTACAAGAAAAGGAATACGGACTCGCACTTTCGTATTCTTCTTCGGCGGAGGACTGGCCCGGACTAGGTCGCGTGGTTGATCGCGTTTTACAAGAGTATATCAATGCAGGTATGAATAACTTCAATCTTCTTGCTTGGTGTTAAATGAAATACCATCAGGGCCGGCACAATTCATCCGTTACGTGGCTGGCATTGCACCGTCACTCCAGGCACTTCGAATGCAGTCCAGTGCACAGGGCATATTCGTCCACCGCTTGATGTTTGCGGTTCGTTACGCTGAATTTCATCAGCGCCTGGGTAATCAGGATCTGCAAGATGCTGCTTGGGATCTTGTATCAATGTTCCAAGATGGGCTTTCTCCAAAATCATGGTGGGCGGTTCTACTGTGCGATTCCCAGCAACTTTTGCAACATGGTACGGAAAGAGTCCATATACGCATGTCGGGTGCCTAACTATTTTACTAGACGCCACATTACTCTTTCCGTACGCAGGCGCGTGCGTTCTGCTACAGCATTTGGAAGAAGTAATTGCGAGAACTGATCAAGGATCTGGCGATGAGCATCTCCGTGTTTTGGTCGCAAAACTCGGTTCTGGTGGGACAACTGAGGCACTCCATGCACTCCAAGGTGTACGGCTGTCACTGGCGAAGTATTTTGCCAGATGCACAATGATTGGCACTGGGGGGAAACAAATCTTGGAGCGCAAGTTTATCGCTGCGGTGTGACACACCTGATTTTTTTGCGTCTTTGCAGTTATCGTTATTCATTGACATTATGAGTTAGTACCACTTTAATGCAACTTCAAAAAAGCCCGTGGGCTGTCAGGCAAACTTCCGTACCGCCGGCTAACTGCGCTCGATGCGAGTATGTTTTTCGGTATACCTAGGCAAAACTTGAGCTCCATCTTTTACTTTTCGCCCAACTGGAATTTACTCGATTTTTTCCTCCTCTTATACCCAAAGTGCGTAAAATTCGCGCCATTATCATGGAACATTTCAATTTCGGTGCCGAATAAATTATCGTAGAAGAGCGCTAGAACCTTCGTGGGATCCCATTTAGCCTGAGGCTATTGAGGTTTCATCCAGAGTTCCTGTTGGCTCCTGTTGGACATTGTATGTTTTCAACGAGGATGCTTAATTGTCGATTATAGCATGCGAAGCCTTGAAGATATTGTCTCGGCCCGTACCTATCAATTTGCAGGCGGTTGACACGACGAATAATACCAATGCGTCGTTGCCTGGCCACTCAGTAATATGAAAGCGGCATGGCTAACCCACTTGAACGCTTCTCAATCAATATTGTGAGCCTCCCTATTCCGTTCAATATAACCTGGATCGGGCCTTATCGACAGCGCGCATCCCGCTAGTGAGTATCCCCGGGGTCGTGCTGTTCCTACCGCTCACCCACTGATCGCCAAAGTAGCGAATAAAGCCTCAATGCAAGTGGTGGTTATATCGCCCCTTATCGTGACCGATGATCCGCTCCGCTGCGGAAGACGATCTCGTCGGTAGATTGCATCTGTTTTCTGGAGAAAGCCACGACCCGGGGCTCTGGGGGTGGCAATAGCCGAACCCAAAGCAGCTGAGTGGAGCTAAGTTGCGATCGCGAACTAGATTACATTGACTCGTGGATCCAAGAGCACAGCTGATGAAACTCAATTAATACATTCGTTAGTTTTTGCAGTCAGGTGAGTTTAGGTCAATTTGGTGATGTATAGATCCCAAAGTAACTTATAACCCAGCCCTCAATGTCAATCAGTAAATTATTCTACTGCGAATCTTTCCTTGGATGTGCTACAAAATCATTCAGTACGCAGAGTATAGCTGCAGCCATCAAACGGTCACTAGACAGCAAGTGGTATGTGTTGACTACAATGCATATTCCATCGACGACTAATCATTGCGCAGGTCGATTGTCGCAAGAGAGAATGTCGTTTAAGTCCATCGCATCAGACGGGCATGCACAGTTGTGCATCTACTTGCTCCCAAACGTTAGCATCTTGCTTGACAACTCTGACTACGAACTCACGACCACCAGAATGCTTCCTGATCAAGGATTGATCATGGAACAATTCAGTGGCCCTTGCCCACGTTGCGGTGGAATCATGAATGGCCACTGAAGAAGCTAACATTTTTTATATTTACAATTTCCTACCTTTCGTTTGACGTTCGGGTGTCTGGTTTCGTGCCAGTACTGCACACGGTATTCTCCTGGGTCACCAAGTCATACAATCATTCCTACGCAAGCTATGCGAAACTTGTATATATCGAAGAGGCATAAGATATAGTTTATTCAACACGATGAAATAGTTTTGTACGTTGTTATTGAACCCTGGTTCAGGGGAAGTTAGCACTGCACCAACGCTCTCCGAACGACACATGCCTGTTCTGGAAAAGTTACATAATCCACGATAGTTATTCCACACATTAGAGGACTTTGCTCACGGGATTCTGACAATTGCTTGCCATCTTCCCGAGCCTGTACAACCCGCGCTGAATGTGGCCATGGCCGACGAAGGCTACTCCTCAACTGCTTGGGAATCGACTGATAATCCCGATCCTAACACTAGCCAGACTCCCTACTATGGCCTATTCCAGCCCAATAGCCCGTCTCTCATTCACGAATCTGCCACTGCTCCTGCCTTGTCGTCTTTACCAGTCAAACCATCATCACCTCCTCCCAGGTCAAGCTCGGATTCGCTGGGTCGATCATCCAGCTCGAGATGGCGAGATAGCGTGCCGGTGACGATTGAACGCAAGGATACGTTATCCGTGATCCCGAGCGACGCTATCAGTCTTGTGGAGACCAACTTTGATGAGAATGTATTGAGAGTATTGTGTGAGCTGGACGTAAGCTCTTAAAACTTTGTGATATCTGCCATGTTCATTGACATGTCTTGGCACCGCCCCAGTGTGGTGTACCTTTGCTACTGGATCGCATTAAACAAAGTATGGTCTCGTGTCGCGTGAGTATTTGTCGAGTTTCGAGAAAGGCATTACATGAAGTTCCCTTGGCAGGAAGCTTCAGTTTTCTTCAAGAAAAGAGCGGTTTTGGAGGATGAGTATGGGAAGAGTTTGCAGAAGCTCGCACGAACTACGTCCGAAGTCTACTCTATGAACGATGGGAAGGCTGGGTAAATATGGACAGAGTACTATTCGCGTATCACTAATCACAATTGATAGGTCTTTTGTGGGTGCTTGGCAGTCATCCATGAAAATCCATGAAGTTATGGCAGAAAACAGGATTCGTTTTGCCCAGCGGCTAAATGAGATGAGCGATGAGCTGGCCTCGCTCGCAAAGGAAGTGGACAAGAACAGAAAACAGGTACTTCGCATCGTTTCACTTGAAGGTCATTGTTTGACGTTGCCTAGACTAAGGAGCTGGCTAGTCGCTACGAACGCGCCCTTCAAGAATCAGAGTTGAACATGGAAAAGTCCAAAAATCGATTGGAAGTCTCATCAGAGGAACTTGAGCGAGTCTTGCTTCAGAAGGAGGGAGAATCCCTGAAGGACGGTGGTTTACAGGCCAAGAACCAAGGAGGAGTCGCAGGTAAACGAGCACTTGGAAAAGCAGTAGCCAAAGGTGGGCTTCTGCTTAAAGGGAAGAATCCTGGAAACGTTTGCATTTATTATGCTGTTCATGACAGTCACTCACGCGTCATTTCAGATACAAAGACAAGAAGACGACATCCGCACGCGCGTCTCGAATGCATCTGACTTATACCGCAAGGCACTTACTGATACCCAAGCAATGAGACAAGAATACTTCAATTTCCAGCTCCCTCGGATACTGCGTGTTGAGTAAAATCAAACTGTGACATCGTGATGGGGCTGATGTGATCTTATAGGCTCTCAAAGAATGTGCCGACGAAATAGACCTCGGGACGCAATATCATTTGACGAGATATGCATTTTTATTCGAGAGCATAGTTCTAAGCGACGGATCAACTCTTGTTCCGGTAGCACCAGAAGATGGTAAGATCTCATTTGTCACAAATTAATGCTAAACGCTTCCTCACACATCAAATAGGCATCGGCCTGAAATCTACGATCGAGTCTATTGATAATCGAGCAGACTTCAAGATCTACATGCAGAACTATGCATATGCACGTGGTGGAGCCGCTCCCCGTGGTCCGCGACGTGAAGGTCCAGCAGAAGAAGGTTTTGTACGTCATTCACATTTTCTCTTTGGAATTTTCATCCATGCGACTATCAGCTGCCTCCGCTGCCGACCCACGGGGGTGGCGCATATTCTGTTCATACAAATGCTCCGGTTGGGAGTAGTCACAACTCCCAAATACCTGATAAGGGCCGGCCAACATTCGGCGTAGATCTTGCAGAGCAGATGGCGAGAGACAATGTTGAACTTCCAGCGATCCTCGAAAAGTGCTGTACTGCTATTGAAAAGCATGGCCTTCAATCCCAAGGCATCTATCGAATCAGTGGCATGGCGCGGAAAGTTGCTTCACTGAAAGAGCGCTTAGACAAAGGTTCATATCTATCGGCTCTGTTCGACCCTGTAGTCTTACGGCTATCTATTTCCGCAGATATAGACTCCGTCAACTTGGATTCGGAAGAGTGGATATCTGACATCAACAATGTGACTAGTGTCCTCAAGATGTGGTTTAGAGAGCTTCCTGATCCGCTACTAACATCAACCCTGCATCAAGGCTTCGTGGAAGCCGCTAGTAAGTCCTATATGCTATGCAAATATGGCAACTTCTCACAGGAGTTCCAGAAATCGAGAACGATCGCCTGCGGCACATACGTTTACACGAGCGAGTTAACGACTTACCGGACCCGAACTACGCTACACTCAAATATTTTTTGGGGCACTTGCACAAGTGTGTCCACCCTTGTCGTCATTTATCTCCACTGATAAAGCAATTGGCCCCGTGCTACAGGATCGCGGAGTACGAGGCAGATAATTCCATGTCCATCCAAAATCTTGCCATCGTTTTCGGACAGACTCTCTTTGGTCAAATGATACCCGGTAACGGGAGTTTTTCGGGTCATGGAAACGGGGGCATGGCGGATGCTCCTTTTCAGAACAAGGTGATTATCAAGCCTTGATAACTCTTGGCTCTGCTTTGTTATGTTGATCTATACCTTATAGGCGATCGAAACAATTTTAGACCACTACTCCGACATCTTCGTTGATGAAGCTGAAGTGGGTGCTTAGGCTCTGCCCCTCTTCGGGCAGACAACTTGCCGTGGATTCTCCTTTCCCTCTCGCGATACCCGTTTACTGCCGCAGGTCAGCTACTGGGCTGGCTGTGGCTTTGGTCTTGGAACAGATTTCTAGTCACTCGTTTGATATAATCGTTGGGTTGTGATTCTATTTATCCATGCGTACTAGTTCGGACCATGATGATATGTATGTACCCAGCCTTCGAGTATTGTGTATGACTTATAATTAGCTTGGGAGATCAGTGGATCGGATTGAATGACATGATGTACATTGATGTTGTACAATTTTGCATCTCGTAAATGATCAGAGGGTGCTTGCTTACTGGAGTGAGTTGAACTGCGGGTCAAACGTCAGCGAAGGTTGATTCACTATCGCTCCCTGTTCACATCTCACTACCCATGCAGATAGTCCAAGACAACTTTCCCGCATTCCAACGCGTCCAAGCAAACGTCGCCTCCGAGTCCGTCGTAGGTTCAAGTTGAAGTCTCCGATTCAAAGCAACGATTCCATCACTGATTATGACAATGCAATCTGAGCATGTCTCATGTCGTAGATCTTCGCCATCGCCATCAACACGACCGCTCGCTATGCATAGCGGGAGACTTGTCCACCGCTGAACAACTTCTCACGAGACATCGACGGAAATCTCTACAGCCACAAGTTGTATGTCGACCGCTCAATCGTTTGTTATGGGACGCAAACACCACTGTGACCATACGCTGTGGTAAACATCACGATGAGGGATTAGGATAGTAGTGATGGTTGAAAACATGCAACAATGACCGCGCATTGATGTGATGGGGTCGTCAGTCTTGCACATGCCATCGGGATACTCACAATAGAACAGCTGCTTACATGTCATTTTGGCAAAAGCCCCAACCCCACTTTGTCCTCTCCCTGACCCAACATCTCCATCCTTGCCCTGCAAAACAGTTTCCTCGATCAGCACCTTAGTAATTGACTCTCTGCAGTCCTCCGAATGTTCGCGAACAGAGCCATGAGTAACACTATTGTCACGGTAGTATTCTGGATGTCACCCTACCTAAGCACATAGTTTCCATGCGTTCGTAAGCACATTACATCGTGTAGATCTTGTACAGATGCGCTTCCGAACGACGTCGTCTAATTTCCCACTTTCTGGAACAAGCTGGACCTCGTTTCTCGTTTACGTGTCTGCCCTGCTGTCTGTACTAGTATCAGTTAGACTTGTGATTAGGCTAGAGCTGCTGGGTCGATAATCCACTTCGAGGCGGCGAGGGATCGTGTCGGTGATGATTTGACGCACGGATATGCCATCCACGATCCCGCACGGCGTTATCAATTTCATGGAGATCCACTTTGATGAGAATGTACTGGTGATACTATGCGAGGTGGGATACGATGGAACCTTGTAAGACCTCCGTTGCAGAACTGGGTAGCGGTACGAGAGGCGAGAAGTGAGACCTTTCAGCCGCAATGTGCCACCTGAAGTGCGTGCACGTTAGGAGTTGACCAGAGGGATATGGTAACGTGGATGGAATACATCCTGGTTTCATGGGTGATTATGGCGAGGGCAAAGCGATCATATGCGTTACGTATGCAGCGATGTTCTGCCAGAGACGCCGAAAATTGTTGGCTATCGCGACGCATATGCTATCCCTTCCGGTGCAATCGGCGCCCCACGTAAGTCGGTACTTAGATATGCACACTACGGCACTTCAACGTACTGCGCGTCTATGGAAGCACATGACAGGTGAGTGCGCCGGTGATACAGCACAAATACTACACGCACCCCTGCAGCATAGAGAGAGACGCCCACAAAGTCGACCTCCAGTAAAATGACAAAGTTCTTTTCCAAGTATCACGAGTCTGCGAGAGTTTTAAAGGACTCGAAGAATGCGTCTGGACAAACGCAATTTTCCTGGACAGAAGACGAATGATCACAACCTTGAACGATGAGACCTTTAGGCTGTGGGACTTGGAGACAGATGAAGGAGCTCGAGCATCCGCGGTGGGGTGTCAACGTTGGCGGTATCAATGAATAGCAAGTGAATGCTGTTGACCGAGAGCTCACACGGAGAAACTGGAGACCTATCATCCAATTTGAACCCAGCAAAGTCCATTCTGTCTAGTTGGATCTGCTCGCTGGAGTTCTCTCCCGATAAAACTATGACTGGCCACTGGTCAACAACGAAGTTATGGTACACCCGAACTGCTACAATCAAAAGCAGCAGCCAAGTTGTGTAACCAATGTAACCAAATTTCTATTGTTGTGATTCGCGATGCCTGCCCCCTCATAGTAGGAAAAGTGTGTTGTTTGTCCGTTTTATGCCCGCCGCGCGGTAAGCGTGACGATTACTGACACTATATCGTGTTTCGGACTCCGTAGAATTTTTGCATCTTGAAATCTTATGTAATTCGGCTTGCTTGCAGTATTCCTTGAGAAATTTTGTTCCTGTTATTGATCTATAGACCACTTTTCACTTGCGCTCACAACCGACCTCAGGCGTGTCTTACGGAGAGCATATCAAGTGAAGAAAATCGGATTCAGATCAGAAACTGCAAACTACCGATAATTAATACTCGTCATCGTACATATACGAACATTATTAAGAGATAAATCGTGGATGAAAAGATGATCCCGTACTGTAAAAGAAACAAGGCATATCGTGCCTACAAGTTACAAAAGAAATGAGCAGTTCAACATCTGCTGACTACATATCAATAAAAGGAAGACGTGTCCATAAGTCACAGGCAGTCCATGATCTGCGAAGTAGATACCGGTAAGAGAAATGAAATGCAAAGACAAAGAAACAAATCGAGGGCCATTTACACGATGGCGAAGACAAGAGAAGAGACTTGAGATAGACGTATGTGCGAACCGCGGATGGTGGCCTTCAACTCCAAGTGTTCTGAGACAAGAAGGAGGCGGTTGTGCTGTTGCGGTTGTGTCGGGATTGGTCGTAGGGGACGTCCGACGTCGAAGACTGCAGGTATAACCGGGCGGCGCGAAGACATAGTTTGTGCGCGGCCAGCGGTGGCCTTCAACCTCGCGGGCATGAAGCTCCAGGTCGTAGGGGACAGCGAGGGAGGCCATTGCGGATCTTCGGGATTTGGTCGTAGGGGACCTCGGGAGTAGTGAAGGTGTCTGTCTTGAACGATTTCGATCGAATTTCCTGGTTCGGGCGTCTTCTGATCCAGAAGCAGTGGTGTAGGCGACAGCATAGAAGGGAGTCCAAGCTGGGCCATGGCAGCCGCCCAGCCGTCGACAAGAGCGGTTTGGTCGGCGAGGAGATCGTCATGCAATTGTTCAAGGTCATCTACTTTAAATCAACAAACGAAGCGAACGTCACCGGAAATCACTCACTGATCGCAGTAGCGTGTTCTTGTTGTTTGGAGCGAGTGCGTTCGATGCTGCCACGGGCAGCGGCCAAGCGAGCGGATCGAGATTCGCGCTAACAAACGATGGTGAGTGCAGCACTTGGCTTCGCAATAAACATGTCCATACCTTGTGTCTTCCCGGGCGGAAATTCTGATGCCGTTTCGTATCCGGGGGTTTCAGCTGAGGCGAGACGATCTGAGGCAGTATGCTGCCAAGAGAGGGAGTCGTGATCGTTTGAGTCGAAGCGTCCACAAGAAGCGAAATGGCAGTGGTCGTCAGGTGTCCGCCCTCCAGGATGATCAGAGGGAGCTGCGTCCGCTGAGAGGGTCCACTCCAGTCATCGATCGCGAGTGGTTTCGTGCCTTGCAATAGGTCGCCACTGGAACAGTCGCTGTCGTCCTACCAAGATTCAAACATTGAGCGATGAAAATGAGGAGACTGTGCGACTTCATACCTGGAGGATATTCCTTTCCTGAAGGTCCACGCCAGAGAAGTCCTTCATGAAGTCGTCATGATGATCGACGAGAGTCGTGTCGGAATCCATTGAGAGGCGCTTCGTGTTCGGAACCGGCGAAGTCGGCAGTATTGGCGTGCATAAAGTGGAACACGTATTAGATGGCTGAGTGCTGCAAGAGTCGGTTGCGATTAGATTCGGTGAAATTATTACGTCTGGCTGAGTGCTGCAAGAGTCAGTTGCGATTGATACGGACGGCGGAGTGCTACATGGTTCGGTTGCGATTGAAATTGAGTCTGCTGCAGTAGAGAAATCGGACACTTTGTTGCAAATGAGAGGCGCGTTGAGCTCGGCTAAATTGTGCTTCGGAGGGGGTTGACCATCTTTACTGAGGAGTATCCGGGCGGTCTCGTTGGAAGCTAGAACTAGTACCGCGACAGAAATACAAAATTCGGATATGACCAGGCCAGCGGTGACGTTCTCCGCTTCTTTGATGGCCTTGGATGTCCGATCCACCACAGTGTGTTTGAAAAAGAATGCTCCGAGGCACCCAGCGACGGTGACATGGGCGGCACCGTCGAAGATAGCGGAAATCATATTGTAAGGCGAGTTGAAGTTGAGAATGAGTAGTGAAGAAAGTAATGCACGTAAATCGAGGATGGGAATGGGAGCATATCTTGTGGGCCCGCTGTATTTATACCCTGCTATACCAGTTAATTCAGCACTGCCACGAAATAAACGAACTCGATCGCGACGCGCCTAGTCACGTGTATGCAAAATCAGTTTATGTCAGCAGCACCACTGCGACGCTTGAGGTGCATTCAATGGCCTGACCATGTTCAGAACGAGAGGATGATCAATTCTTGTGAGTGTCTGTGTATCGATGGCAAAAGGTACCTGATAAAGCACTGCTAGCACTGACAGGTTAAGGGGCGGATCCCGCCGCAGTGCACGACTCCTCCATTCAAATCGTCGTTCGAGGTCCGAGTTGATTGGAAGTCGCCTAGTCACCACTGGTCTTATCACGATAATCGTGGGTTCGTGACCGCTGCAGACCTTACAGCATAGTCACGGCGTGTTAGCCCGGATCACAGTCTGGGCCCAGCTGCTGTAGATATGAAGTGTTACCAGCCGAAACCCTCGGAGGACGAACAACCCTTGCCGATTGAAGAACTTCGACTCTTCATTTATGTTTCCACCACGTTATGCGGTGTCTGTGCGGTCGATCTAGTACTCCTCATCTTGCATGTTACTGAGCGCTACCACAGAGATGACAGAATTTAAGTAATGGATGCACGAGCATTGACCGGTGACCAATCGCGCACGGTACCATCCTGCTTTTTGAATTGATGCCTGGACGGGCCGCACTCATGATATCGCTGCCATTATCGTCTAATCCTGTTAGCATGCTCGCTGCTTCGTCTATCTCTGGCAGCTCTCCGATTGACTCGCCATCTTCCAGTATTCGTCTCCGACGACATTGGTCATGTTTTCCATGAACGGCAAGCACGTCTTCAGTGGAGGGTGATCTCAGCGTGGGCAGCACCAACGGACACTGCGCAGGAGTAAGAGGGTTCCCAGAAACTTAACCTGTCTGAGTTTGCATCTGAGTTTGCGCGGAATAGTTTTCCTGATGTAGTGTCCGTTCAATCTGTGTTGACAAGGAGAGACTGTATGGCAGATAGCATGCTTCACGCACCACGTCTCGTCACTTCCCTATCATTTTATTGCAATCATCCGTTCTTCGTAAAGCGACAAGTCAATATAGTGATTTGCAATTCGGTTCGCGACGTCACCACGTCTTTCGGAGGGCAGACTGTAACCTCTAAATAAGTTCAGCCGGCTCCTACAGGTAAACCCCTTGCATCCCTTGCAGTCCAAAAATTGTGCATTGCCACGAGGGAATCATAAACCAACCAACAACATATCACAATTACGTATGTCAGATCAGGACCCAAGGAACTTATTGGGCGAGTAGAACGCGGGCTACGAGGGGATAATGAGAAGTCAGCATTCGATCGACCGTTAACAACATGTCACAAAAGCCTAAATATGCACTTACCCGCCTCCGCAACTCCCCTGCGAGAACAGACACCCACGTATTATCGTCTTCCTGGAACGCCCACTCTGTTTGGGAGGGAAAGACGACGCGTCGTAGTGAAGGACACGCGTTCTGCCATGATCGACAGAGTGAGAGTTCTTCTGTGCTGTTGCTGAGCCCAGTATAGTCTACGTGCGTAGGCGAGAGGTCGAGCGTAGAAAGATTGCGAAATGCTCCGAGAAGGTGTGAAAGCGCGGCTAGTAAGCCCTAGAACGGAAAACACGACATTCAGCCTAAACAAAACGTCTTGGAAAAACGGGGCTGCAAGAAACAACAACAGAAAACTCAATAAGAAGTAAACTCACGATACCTGCGAAATGCAAAGTATGCCTCAACGCAAGCTTCACTTTCAAAGACTCGACTGTATTAAGGTTCCTGGATAAATTTCGCAGTAATGTCGGGGTAACCAACATGGATGACAAATCCAGATGGCGAAGAGGTACGCTTGTCAGAACCATTTGGGATAGATCTAGGTCAGGGATGTAGTCTTGTCCTATGAGTACAAGAGATTGTACGGGTCTTCCTGGTAGGATTGCAGCGGCTACGCGCGGGGAGCCGGAAAATGATACGAGAGATGGGAGGGCTTGAGGAATAAGGGTGATCTGATCGTGATAGTCGGGAAGACGGAGATGTCGTACGGCGGGGAGAATGTTGAGAAAAATTTTGAGACGGTTGTGGGTAAAGGGGCCGATGCCGCTGAGAGAGACGCGTCGGAGGGAGTGATAACAGACATCGGTAGCAGGGAATGAGAGAAAAGTTGAAGTTGGGTGTTCCGACAGAGATGGCAGGCCGAGATGCAGGTCTAGGGACTGGAGGTTGGTTGCGAGGCCTAATGCTTGTGTGAGATTAGAGAGGAAGATGTCGAAGTCTGGCGCATAGTATGCGCCATACTCTAATTTCCATCGGATATGAAGTTTGCGGAGTCCGTTGGCAAGATGTGAATGTAGACGAATGGTCTGGCAGCAACGAAGGGTGCTGTATGGGAGTGAAGATGAGGCAGAGAGAGTTTCTGAGATGAAGATGTTTGAATACAGCAGCCATTCTGCGACACCCCTCCACTGGCGTGATACACGGGCAACAGTTGCTAAGACAGAAGGTGATAGACCACGGCAGATAGTAGCAAGAGTCTCATTTGGTAGGAATGTGCGCCAAGCCGAGTCTGCAGCTAAGTACTGCCCACCGTTTAGGTCAATAGCCATGGTGGTGTGGTCCATAGCAGGTCGTAGCCGGGGTCACTCGTTGGGAAAAGAACATCCAAAGATACGTGAAAAGTCGGTAAAACCACGGACATACTAACCGTCAGCAAGTTGGAGGACCGAGCAAAGGATAAGTTTGGACTGACAGTGACAGTGACAGATGATCCGAACCACGTGGAATTTCAAACATGGATTTAAGAGTTAAAATTACAGTACTGATACAGTATAAATAATAGAATAAAATCGTGAAATGTCTATGCACCGAAACCATACAGAGTACGCCCTGACCGCTTCAGTGCGTAAACGACATCAAGGGCAGTGACAGTTTTCCGTTTTGCATGCTCAGTGTATGTTACCGAGTCACGGATGACCTACGAAGAAAGGTGAGAAGATGACGGCGTCAATATTGAGTCGACGTACATTTTCAAGGAAGATCTTGAGGACACCACGGGTCTCCTCGTAGATGAGACCGGAGATACGCTTGACACCACCACGACGGGCGAGACGACGAATAGCAGGCTTTGTTATGCCTAGACATGCCAGTTAGATAAACGACAAGACCAAAAGTATGGACGAATGACTTACCCTGAATGTTATCACGAAGAATCTTACGATGACGCTTGGCACCACCCTTTCCGAGACCCTTGAGAATAAATGAGATCCAGAGTAAAACACGTGTGATAGAAAACTTACCTTGCCACCTTTTCCACGGCCAGACATTGTGTAGTTGAGTTAAGAGTAAAGTGTGATAAAACGGGGATGAGTGGGGCGCCGAAATGAGCAACAGTTGCTTTTATAGCATCGGGAAGTGGCTGTGCTGAATATCCGTATTCGGTTTGTTGATTGACCTCTCACGTGACAGCGCGACGCGTCTGTATATAGGGTCACCCCCATTCGGTGACATACGCTCATTCCTTCCCAATTACCAATTACTTGCTCGTTCTACTTCAACTACTTCAATGGCTCGTACTAAGCAAACCGCTCGCAAGTCTACTGGTGGTAAGTCACACTCTCAGTTTAAAACAAGACACTCGAACTCATTAGCTACCAGGCAAAGCCCCTCGTAAGCAATTGGCCGCCAAGTCTGCTGCCCGCAAAACCGCACAAGCAGTACGTATTGTTTTTGAACTACTGGACCTTGCTCACCATACTTTCTCAGAGCACTGGTGGTGTCAAGAAGCCCCATCGTTTCCGTCCCGGTACCGTCGCTCTTCGTGAGATTCGTCGGTACCAGAAATCAACAGAGCTGCTCATCCGCAAGCTCCCCTTCCAACGACTTGTTCGTGAAATCGCACAGGATTTCAAGGTTAGTTATGTCGTATTTTAACTGCATTCGTGTCTGATCGCTTTTGCCAGACTGACCTGCGCTTCCAATCATCGGCTGTGATGGCTCTTCAAGAAGCTGCTGAAGCATACCTCGTCTCATTGTTCGAGGACACCAACTTGGCTGCTATCCACGCAAAGCGTGTTACTATTCAACCAAAAGATCTTGCTCTTGCACGGCGGCTTCGTGGCGAGCGTTCCTAGAGGGTTTTTATTTATTTGTGGCTGAGTTGTATTCTATTGTATTAATATCTACTATTTTTCGTACTACCGACCGGACCATTTGGGCGTGCACCTTGCAATGACGAGCCGATTCCACATACTTTACGTCTGACAACGTCGTTGGCATCGAGCATCAATGTTCATATTCTGAGTACAATTTATTGGACGCCCTGGTCTACCGTGACACGTCGTCAGCCAACGACCAAGTCCATGTCAGCCACCAAGCTCAGCCGTACAAAAACTAGCTCTTTGCGCTCTCCGACCTGCATCACCTTTGGTCCCGACTTTTTCCTTGACTACCCCACATTCGTTCACAATGCGCTCTTTTTTAACTCTTTGTCTCATACTTCCATCCGTGCTCGCAGCGCCTTTTAAGTTCTCCACCCACCACCAACATGTAAGTCTCTAATTATCCATCAAGGCGTACTGTTCATTTTATTCGCTCGCCCTACTACTAGTCACCCTCCTGCGTCATCGCAGGCGTAGCTTATCCAAACCCTCGTCACGCCCTCATCCTCCTTGGCAAACGAGAACTTCGCCCTCCCACTGGACTCACTGAGCGCGCTTTCACCGACTTCCTACTCTTATGTCACAAGTCCAGCGGTCGTTCATCCTCTGCACCCCTGCTCGCTCGTCAGCAAGGCAGCTACTTGACCAACGCTCTCGGGGATCCGGCAGAGAATGACAGCATGCTCGACACAACCACTCCAGAAGGCGCTCTCCCAGCGTCCGGTGATCAGAGTGCTAGCTCTCCCGCTGCTGCTAGTCCTTCGACGACTCCTGCGACTACTACTTCATCTGCTCCATCTCCTTCAGAGACTCATGGAAGCACTACAGCTGGGCCCACGTCGACTGGCACTCCCGCCGGCAGCGACTTGGACGCTCACGGAACTTCGGCCAACACTGCGGGAAGCCCTCCCTCTGGAAATACAGCTGCCCCCGCGGACTCGGAGATGCCACTAGCACAGTCCGACTCATCTACGTTTGATACACCAATACCCCAAGATATGACAGCCGGCTTCTCCAGCCCTGTCATGGACAGCAGCGTATCCGACAGCTTTGGCGACGTGTCTGGCAGCATGAGCGACGCGTTCGATAGCCTTGACAACACACCGGACAATGATACCGAGGAAGGAGAACCTGTCGCTATGGATGCTCAAAGCGGTGTCTAGGAAGCTGAGACTTGTGATGGTCATGTATGGCTGATTCTCTTGTCAATAGTCATGCAAATAAACACGGTTCAACTATGATATTAGTCCATCCGAAGGTTCGCGAAGCTATACTGCCACATGGCCTCGCCATTCTATCCCACTGCTTGTTTCCAAACTGCTAAATTCGACATCAAAGCAACGTTAAGAGATTAATTCAATATACAACAATCCATATCGTACTGATAGGCTAAATATACAACTCGTAGGATAGTGTAGTGTAGCGACATTGTCCTGTCGAGTCCCTTGTGGATAAAAATATGATCAGTAAAAGTCCCGGGCCCACATCTATCCACCCCTAATTAATCCAAAGAACATGCAAGGCATCTCACATCCACGCAGCACCGACAGCGACAGAAATACCACCCACAAGCGGTGCCCATGGAACACCCCAACGGTGAGAGGCAGAATTAGATCCACCTCCCGTGCCCGCTGTCGCACTAGCTGAGACTGAACCAATAGTAGCCGAAGGAGGAGCAGCATTAACCCCGTTCATAGCAATCGCGGTATTCGAGAGCGCAGCAAAACCAACAGCAGCAGGGTTATACCGGAAAACCGAATAAACATTTTTCTACGATCACTTCAAGTGAGCACATTGACCGTTTAAGCAGCAGAAAAGCAAGCTTACGAGGAAAGTATCGCCAACGATCCAATTTGGCGCAGTACCACCTGTGTTCAGTTCAAAGAATGCGCCGACGCATTGGGAGGAGCTGAGCTTTGTGAGTTGGAAGTCGGCGGGGGCGATGGGCCAGCTGGGTCCACCGAATGAGATGGCGACGTTGACGGCGGTGGTGCAGGGGTAGGTATAGTAGCCCTGCCAGTTACCTGTGCCGGGCTGCGAACCTGGAATTTGTGCGAAGATGCTTTGGATGACACTAGAAGGTCCGCCGACAAGAGTGGTCCCGGTGTCGATAGCGGAGTAGGATGAAGAACCGGAGGGGATGGAGATAGAGCTTCCCTGGACGGTTAACGCTTGGAGACAATCAATGTCAAACTTTGCAAAGCTGAGCAACGGATAAACTTACATGTCATCGGTAGAATCCAATAAGATGGCGTCGTGGGAATGGCCTGATAATCGATGCTGCCGGTGTAAAGACTGCTGTTGACAAAGCCTAGCGATAGTCCGTCAACTTGTAAAGAGACTCCCAACAGAGATGACATACCCATAGTGAACGATCCACCGGGTTCCTCGGTGTTAACGTTCGAACCGTTCATGAACCGGGTGAGCTGAAACGCCATGACAGGATCTGACCAAGCCCCAGAGCTTGCCAAGGTCTGCCAGAACGGCGTCGCTTTCGAGCTAGCTATACTCTGCCATCCCAAGCCCAACAAGCCGGACACGGGTGGCTCCAGAAGGCCCGACGTCACTTGTGTGACAGCAGCGAAAACCTGGTTGGGAACAGAGAACCCAGCCATCTGGACAATGTCCTGGCCTAATGTACCTTCTGCAGCGCCAGAACCGTATTGGATGTTGAAGGGCTCAGAAAGATTGTGGAAAGTAGATGAGGTTAGGTCATCGTATAGCTGGATTTTAGAGCAGCCGGTGGTGCAGGCTTGATCTGCGACCCAGAGATCGCTAATTCGTGGACAATAATGAATACAGTCGGAAATTTTGTCAGGGATAGATGACTCACGATGAGCCGGTGTCAAGAATGACATTGAAGGAGACTGGTGGAGTGCCTATGGCCACTGTTCCGAAATAACTGTGTCAAATGAAAGCGTTCGATGAAACAATCTGCGGTAGAGAACTGCCGACCGACCTTGAATCCGCATTCTGGTTGGTTAACCTGTAGAGTGATCAGCGAGGGCAAAATAAATCTACTTAAGAACCCATTCTCACAAATTTGTTCCAGTACTCCTTTTCTCGATATTTCCCCCATACTTGGCAGTGAGAACCTCTCGTTCGTTCTGAGCCCACGTTTCCCATTCGGCGACGGTTCGTTCAGGTTGGGCTCTTCGGACGAGGGGGATGGACTGGCCAGCAGCCGGGACTAAACTTGGGGCAGCAAAAACATTTGGTGAGACGATGAGGAGGCAAGACAGTGCGAGTGTCGACGGGAAAAGCATTGTGAGGTGACTTGAAAGCGATGAAAACGGGAACTTAATATACGATATACAATATTTGAAAGAGGCAGTGTTCAGGGAAAGAAAGAACGTGGTTGCCAGTGTGTGCTCGCGGTTAACGCACTAAAGTGAGAGATAGTCTTGTGTACTGCGGACTCAGATGCCGCCAAGCTGCCGCTTTCCAAGACATTTTAGTCAGCGCCTTGGTCGTCATCAAAACTTCACCCCCCTACTTAACAAAATGTGTTTAACAACATCCCATGGCAACGCAGTCCTCTAGGGAGACCTACGTCGTCGATCTTACAGTCCTTTGCGTAACCTCGGAAGACCTAGCCCATCATGACTTCATACTCAGGCTGTGCAAGGCACCGAGGCTGGAGCTTGTTGGATCCGAAGGTAAATCTTGTCCAATCATCCGAATAATCCGACAAGCACTGCATTCAACATGTTGAACAGCCCGACAATCAAGCATACTTCTGACAAGCCCAAACTATATAAGGCAAATCCAGAAACCCGTCCATTCTGAACAACCGCCAAGTCTCCTTGTTCAACCATCTCTCGAGGAACTCCCTAACAACATCTTCTTGTCTCAGTTCAACGATCACCAACGCCCACGTCTTCCCTGCAGTTGAGACAGTCTCAATTGTCTCGACGAGTGCGGGAAGAAGCGAAGGGTGGTAGATACAATCAACGATCAGGATGAGATCCCACTTGGCGTTGGGCTCAGGTGGCTTGGGGTAATAGAGTGACCGCCTGGTTGGCGGCAAGGACAACAGTGTTTCCCAGTCTAGTTCTTCCACGGAGATATTCGATCCTGGTGACCCCTCTGGAGGTTTTGTATTTTGCATCCAACCCGCGAAATTAAGAGCAACATTTTTTCGGATAAGTGGGAGAAGGGGCGCGATGTCTGTTGCAGTGTAGCTCTTTGCACATGCAGAAAGCGCAATGCTAAGCAAACCTGTGCCTGCACTATCCAACCGATCAGGGTTAATGAAAACAGCAACCACAGACGTTGGAACTCACCCTAACTCAAGTACATGACTCTCTCGAAGCAGATCCTTATCGACTAATGGGTTGCTTGGAGGGAAGCGATGCTGTTGCAGGATAACTTGAGCGAACGCAATGCTACCATCACCTCGTCGGATATATGTCTAGCGAACAAAGTACGCAGTATGATCCTACCTCGCTCGCCACAAGACACTCCCAGTATCTCCTTTTCGACTGCGCAGTGCAGTTTTGTCTTGCGCAAGCTCAATCTCGATGACATGTGAAGTCTCTTCACCGCGAGTTTTCCTCGCAGACCTGCCCTTTCGTGATCTCGACGCCGATTTAGACTCAGCGGCTCCCGAGGATGTTGGCTGTGATGGAGCGTTGAGTTCAAATCGGATGGAAAGGGTGTCTTGGCGAGAATCAACGTGTCCTAGGCCGTGGAACCCATCTGGTCCTGTCTGGTCGAGTGGTTTTTGGTTTAGAGCTGTGTATACGAGGAAGATCTGCGACGGTATACATCTGATTCATGATATAATTGAATTCAGCTGACCTCCTCGTCTGCATCGGTCACTGGTTCGATGTTGTCCGGGAGCTTCAGCAGATTCAAGGACATGATATACAGCTAGACAAGTTACGACCGAGCAAGTACAAGCTTGTTATGGATAATGGAACAAACAGGGTCAAATAATCTGATCGGATGATCATATTGTTTCCTACAACCAGCCTCCACCTAGATCGTAGGCATAAGTACTCACGAGTTCGCTGCGATAGCTGTTGTCTTTTGTGGTGGATGCCGTGAACTCTGTATTCTCTGTAGCTGGCTGATATCACTAAATATCCCATCGCAACCACGCTGGAGTTACTGGTTGCGTGCACAGTGGCGCACAAGATACATACGCGATCTTGTAAGTACCCTCTTTGCTCTCGATCTTTTCATTTTCTGTAGCTTATACATGTCCTAAAATCAAGACATATCGACGCATCTCACACACCTCTCACTGTTACTATAGTTATTACCATTTCCCCTTGCAATCACGATTTCTGCTTCACTATGCCTAACTGGACAGTCATCCCGCCAACCATGGAGGACCTTGATCAACATTATTGTCACCCAATGATTGTGAAATTGTTTCGCATCATGAAGACCATTTACGGGCTTTTGGATCCGCAAAATGAACCGTCGGGGATCCATGAAGGAAAACATACCGCAACCTTTGGTTATGAAAATTCAGAAGCATCTGATGAATCTTCTGTACTATCAAGCCTTTTCATCCATTTTGGTCTATCCAGCCAGACCTCTCCACGCTTTGCTATCATATTACCGTCTATGCAGATCGAAGATATGACGCAAGGATCACGTATACCCGTCCCGTCTGAGCTCGTGCCGACCGTGACAGACATCTGCGATTTCGCCGTTGTGAGGTCTCAGTTTACCCCAGATCCAACAGAATACGACATAGACGAACCAGAGAGCTACCCTGCAGGTCAGGTGTGGGAACGAGTTCAAATGCAGGTGAGAACTAATTCGCACTATTGACCTATTTGTTTAAATGCAAATTGTTTGCATCAGAAATATCACGAGCTCCTTATGAAAGAAGGCTTTATCCAGAGCACAGACCCTCGACACAGTCATCGATGTGATATTTGTCGATCAGACCTTCTCCAATGCAAGGTTTGTTTAAAAGTCATGTGCCCTTCGCGCAGCTGCGCTGCATTTCCGTTGTTCTGCATGCGCTGGCGGCCATGTGCCGCAGGACACCGCTGTTGGTACAGTGACATCTGTATTGATTGTGTCGTCGGCGGCACAACCTGCCTATGCGAGGAAACCTGGACGTGCGATCTCTGCACAGAAAAAGGCGGCTTCTTTTTACGTTGTCTTCGCTGCGACAGGCCATTTTGCCGTGGATGCTCATACCTTGTGGGATGTCGTGGGTGTAGAGCTTCGAACCTCTGCCACGACTGTGCCGAAGAAGCCCCAGAGAATGTAGCAAAGGAAAACTACGTGGAACTCGTCGGCCCGTGCACAAAATGTAAGTCTCCAGTCTGTAAACCCTGCGCGATGGCGGCAGCAGCGGGCACGTCCGTTCATATCGCTGTTGTTAGTTTCTCGACGGGGTGTGACTGTATTAAATCGTATAAATAACGGGGAAGCAACTTGTTGCTATTGGCTGGTATTTGTATTTGCAGCCTTGAACGAGATCAAAGAATACATGTCATTTTTGTGTTGGTGTATGATGAAACTTGAAGTTCGTACTTGTTCGAGTGAATATGGTCCACAATGATCACACTATTTTTTTGGGTTCCTGGTTTATTGCGGGTTGGAGCGAAGCCCTATGTTGGACACCACCTACTCTATTCTATTACTGGCGGTTGGTCCTATTGAGTATGATGTCTACACTGTACGTACAGTGGTTCCGGCTTGGGCGTTGGGCGTTCAGCTTTGAGCTCCCTGGGCCGAGTTCGTCCCTTATACTTTCGCGCTGCTGTGTTGTATGCCGGGTATACCAAGAGGAAGTGGTGTACCGATTCGTCGTACGTGGGCTTCCGATCACACTGTTTAATATATTGAACATCCTAGTATTCTAGTATGCAAGTCCACGGATGCATCGATGAAATATCAGCTACGCTCATACCTTGGTGTATCAGCACACACTGCATCTTAATGATTAGAAGCCGCTTGGGCGTTGATTCACCTCCGAGCCATGTTGTATAATTCCCAACAAACATCATCATCACTGGTCGCTCCACAACACATTCGACGATCAGTGTGTAAATCACTCGTACCATGCTCGATCTCATCCACCGCAATTGCAGGTGGATTTGGAACACGCGGGCCATCAATCAAGCTCTTCGGGGGTGGCGTGATGATAAACGTCCTCCGGGAACAGGTGTGAGATTGCTGAAAGAAAGCATTCATGCAGCTACAGTACCTCTAAAGTCCTGATGTCCATCAAGTAGCTAATAGAAGCCATGTCTTTAACCCGTGCAATGATATCACGATCCGATGCGATCCTCTTGAATTCTCCGTCGCGCTGCCGCGCTAGCAAAAATGCACTAAAAGGCTGTCCAAGGCGAACGATCAATCGCAATGCTCGCGAGTGGGAATCCCAATAAATTGGCCCAGTTCGAGCAGGGAGTGAATCGTGCCACAAAGATTCGGACACGGACAAATTGTCCACGCTTTGTGTATCGTCCGCAGTGTCACGCAGCCCGAGGAGATCGCGACTCCATGGGCGAACGAGTAACATCGTCTGCCACGAGGGAGACGGTCTAGCCGGCGAGAACGGGGTGAACCTGTCTTTTGTGGCGATCTGCAGGTTGCGAAGGCCGTCCGATTTGAGTTCATACGTGTATGTGTCCTGGTCTTGACCTGACCTCCGCCTGGCTTCTGTCACTGGGAATACGATGCAAGGCAGATGCAACCGGTGGTACGCGAAACGGGGAGCGCCCAGGTAGTCCAATCTCTGATATAATTCCGAAGCCGACTCCAGAGCCACAACACCTCGCAGCGAGGAGACCGATGACTGAATCTCTTCTTCGGATATTGATGGCAGTCTGCATGGTGGAGCTTTGTATGAAGTGATGTCGGCGGGTAGACAGCTATTGAAATCTGATGCCTTTCCTACCCAGTCTAGGGCAGTAATATCCCCCGACTGAGATATGATTTCCTGCAGGAGCCGCCCAAGTGCGTTCTGCTTTTTCTCGCCATAAATGACAGGTAGGGTGATGCCGAAGATGCCGAATAACGAGTATGCGATGTCTTCTTGCACTGTGGTAATGCGTGTCGACGCCCACTGAAGTTTCTCTCGGGCGTCTCTCATTCCGGGACAGAAGGCCACGATGGCTCGTCGATCTATGCCCGTCGCATCCTCCAACTCCTGCATGATCGCGACGGACTCCTTGTGGTTGGGAGTGCGATCGCCGACATAAGGAGTCCAATCCTTCTGGTAAAATAGAATGACTTCTGGAGCGAGGAATTCTTGAACCGTCCATCCCCGTGTGTTCCAAGCGCTCTTTGCCAGCGCGCCAGGCTTTGATGACAGCGGAACATCCGAGAGGTATATGACAGTGAGCGTGGAGTGGCGATACCAGCCGAACATGGAGTTGACCGATTCTTGGAGCTCAGCATTGTTGCTCTTATCGATGCAGCATGTGTCGCTCCATGCCCAGCGATGCCCCAAATCACGAACAGTTTTGCAGAAAGACTGCAATTTCGCGATGCCGCCAACCGGATCCAACTTATAAACGATCTTGCCCTGGACATCCTGCAGCAGCGGCTCCTGACCTTCCCACCTATGCGATAGCATGACGTATTGGAAGCATGGCATCACCACCTCTTCAATGCGCTTCACTTGGATATCTCTATGCGTGATTGTCGAAGACAAGAGCTCCATATACTCTGTGCTCGACTTGAAGATGCGTATCTGCGCCTCTCGATCGCATAAGAGACCGGTGGTGGTGTCGAGCACGCGCAGCGGAGCATTGTCAAGTTGAGCATCGATGACCTTTCGAATAGCACGGTCCACTTCATATGGACTGAGATACTGCTGGCGCAACTCTGCAGAAGCGGTCAAAGTATGTTGACGTATAAGGTATCGAAGCTTACTTCGTGTCTCGGTGTCAGGAGCATCATCCAATTTTGAAAGCATCGTTTCGAAGGCCGAAATAGCTTCATCATAGCGTTGGGCGCCATGAAATGCTGCGTGCTTCAACTTGTATCCAATATGAGACGAAGGGTTGAGTTGGATGACCTGTGTATCACCACAATGAGCATAGGTGAAGGAACAATAAATGCCATCGCACCTTCTGCGCATCGAGAAGTGCTTCCATCCACAGCATCTTTCCCAACTTTGCCTGACTACGCTTTTCAAAGACAACATATGATGGAGAAGTTAGGTCGGTCACCGCCGAGTAGAGGTCAATAGCCCTGTTAAAATCGCCTGCAGCGAGGGCAGTATCTCCTTTGGTAAGAAATAGCGCGCTGCATTTTCTCGTAAAATCTGAGTGAAATGGGGATGAGAATTGTAGCCTGGGCGACATCATGAACTCCAGACTTGCCGTTGGACCATTCAAGGCAGCTGGCCTTCGTTGTTTTGTCGATGTTGTCCATCATGTATCTGTATGATTTTACGGCATCTTGAAGTCTGCCTGCCTGAAAAAGTGCATCACACCGTTTCTGGTGTGCCTTTTGCCACGAGGACTCCATGTCCCAGCCGAAGAGCTGGATCAATACTGAGTTATGAAAAGCATCATGTACGCATCATGCTGACGCACCACCACCAAATCCTCGTAAATTTCATGGATGTCCAATTTCGATGGCATAGCGTTGTAGTTGAGAGCAGCAGTAAAATGCTCAGTAGCTTCGTCGTGACGTGCGCTATCCAAGGCTTTGAGTCCGAGTTGAATGCGTAGATATGCCTTCATATGCAAGTTGGAAGATTAGTGTCGATACAGGCTGCATGATCCTTACCTCCACGATATGACATGCACGAGTATCAGGATTCGGACATCCGGTAGTGAGTTCTTTGAGGAGCAGGTTTGCTTCGTCATGTTGATCTGCATTGAAGAGTGCAATGACCTAGAATATGGGATGAAGCGGAGAGCATGTCAGGAAAATGTAACATACCTTGATCAAGAGCAGGAAGTGCATGGTTCGTGAATACATATGTGAATCTTTGTCCGTGTACATTGATGCAACATCAAATGCTGCCCTCGCGCTCCGGATAAGGCCTGTTCCGCAGAGGGCGATGCTCTTGGAAATATAGCCTGACAATGAGGGCTGAATGCTGATGGACTTTGTCAAAGTCGAGTTAGCTATTCAAAAGGGGGCCATGATGGGTCAGTGAATCTCACCTTGATTGCATCCTGAAGGGCACGGTCCCAGTCGTATTTTCGCGCCATAACGAATGAACGATGGGCGTAGAAAGTATGGTTGTTCGGATCAGTGTTGATATCTTGTGTGAGTAGTTCTTCGGCAGTAGAAAAATCTCCATTTATGCACGCCTCGCGGACTGTCGTGACCTGCACGAAACATGCTCGAATAATTGTGGTATATGAGTCAAGGATGGAGACATGCCTTTGGATGCATAATGTGAGGTACTGCCCACTCTGAGATCATGTTATCGCTACCTCCGCTAAGGATGTAGTTGCCGTCCACGGTGAAGATGACACATTTCAGTGCAAATGAGAGCTTGAAGGTGGCAATGGTTTGTCGATCTGAAAGCCGCCAGAGATGGACATGATTATCATCAGATGCGGAAGCGATTAGTGAACCAGTGGGATTAATGGTAATGGCATTGATATAGTCAAAGTGGCCCGTCCAGGGATCACCAACCTGTTTCCAGGTTGTTGTATCCCATTCACGTATGGTAGAATCGCCGCCGCCTGTGAGAAGGCGTGTGCCATCAGGTGTCCATGCGAGTGAAGAGTTGTATTTTGCGTGACCCGTGAACTTTGCGACGCGTCTCCTTGTGTCTGAATTGTAAACCTCGATATGATGGTTTGTTGCGATGGCAAGAAGTTCTCCGGACGGTGAATACCGTGCACATTTGATATCACTACCACACTCGATTGGATTTCCTTGCTGCTGCCAGGTTTCGGTGTTCCACAGCTTCGTGGTTTTGTCATATGCACTAATGGCCAGCACTGTTCCATCGGGAGAAAAATCCAGTGAGGTGATCCAATTGGAATGTGCTTCGATTTTGATGAGTGATTCACCAGTTTCTCCATGCCAGACGATGACCTCTCCCTTGAGATCACCGCTTGCTATCAATTGCCCATCTCGCGATACCGCCAATCCCCCCACCTCACTGCAATGCCCCTCCATCTTCTTCAACACAACACCTCTCTTCAAGTCCCACAACAGAAGTGTCTTGTCCCATGAGCTCGTAACCATCCGTTGGTTATCGGGGAACATTGCGACTGCCATTACGCAGTCTCCATGACCTCTGAACTTTTGCAGGGGTATAGTGATTGGAATAAGGTTCGACATTTTACTGGAGGTTAATGGTATCGAGCACGGTTGAGGTGGACTGGAGGGATAGCGGGTGTCGTTCTCTAAGCTGCGGATCCAGAGGTATGTGTTTTGTGTTTTTTTTTGCGCGTCAACCTTGTTCGTTGCCCAGCCTCCACGCCTCCATCACTGTTACGGCAGGAATGTACCCCTATTATTATACCCGCCGTCCTCGATGGTTTATACCCTTCCAGCACCTCAGTGCATATATGCATTCAACTCTGGTCTCTATAGCCGCCAGGATGTATCCCGTCGCATCCAGTGGACAGCTGGTGCTTTCTAGCAATCAAATCTGACTATCTATCCTACACCAGTGTATGCATTTCGTTGTTTTCGTGTCGAGCAGCACATCACCATTTCACTCCTTCAATATAGCTCATTGAAATATTACCCCTTCATTCCGCCGACTCGCAAGACCCGCTTGCGCACTGGATGCAGCCAAAGTTCTCCCTTCTGGAACTTGTCACCAATTCTATCGCGGAAGAGCTTGCTTCTAGCGCTCTGCTCGTGATTCATCTCTGCTTTGCCCTTTCCCCCACCTCTGGCCCAGCTGGTTCTATCTCAACTACCATGGAATCAATGGTCCCTATGCCTGGGCCGCCAAGAGACCAAATGAAGTTCACACCAGTTCTTTTACCAAAGGTCTCATCTCGATTGTCATGTGCCAGACGCTGCGTGATCAATTTTTGATTGACTCATAATTATTTTCGAATGTCTTGTACTATCCGCAGAATCAATATATCCTAACGAGGATGCAACGATGGATGGCCTGGTTGTAGAGCGACGGTGCCTGCCCCAAAGCCTCTTAGTGCCCTCGTACACATCTCTCTACGGCTCTGAGTCTGTTCTAATAATGTTGCAACGAGCCTACTTGCAGCCCAGTCCTCGGGCCATTCGATACTGGGGTGCTGCCTCGTTAACGACATCTGGGCCGTTTAATAAGTGACTCAAACTCACGCTCGCCTCCGGGTTCTCAGTCTGTGACGTGTAGCTTGCGGGGTGAATTGCTATGGACTTCAAATTTAGGCTTTGTAGGATGAGTGAGCGTCTGATCCCATTGTACTTTGACGGTGTGTGCAGTGGGCCATGAGTAGCATGTTTTTGACTGATAACATTGCAGGGGGAAACTGTTGAATCGCGGATCGTGCCATTGTTGGAGCATAGTCCATTCAACTGCTTTTATTCATTGGATTGTTAAAAGCAGTTTAATGGGCAGTGCTCCAGAATCTAGTTCTATTACTGGGTTCACGTCTACTCTCAGGTAATTCATCATAACCGCAAAAGAGGACTAATTATGCATGAGTCTAAGAATATTCTTGAAAGACGAGACGCCCGACCCAGTTCGTACAGTAACAGAGCAGCGTACTCATAAACGTTATTTCTGCCGCCCACGAAAAGACAGTCGCCCGGATTCGCTGTCCACCTTGTATGAGTATGATTGTCACGAAAATCAAAGATTGCATCACAAACGTATATTACATAACCGAGGTCGTGTTTTTGGAATTGAAGATCAGGGGAGTGTCAGATATGATATAAGACACCGCAAAACAAACCTGGCAGTGGTTTAGCATCAGGCCTTTTGTGGTGAAAGGTGAACGAAAGACATACGACGGGAAAAACAATAAGGAATGCCAGTAGACGCTTACTGTTCCAGGAAGCGTAAATCCTCGTTATGAGCAAGCCTAGAGGTAAAATGTCAATATCGGAAGCTCATTTAGGACATGACATACCTTCTGCGGTTAGAATACAGATGATATGCAACACTGCGTAAGGGTTGGATGATGTGAGAAAGCAAGGTAGACCTGTCACCTAGTCTTCATCTGTGGGAAGGGTGGTGGGAATACATGCCCACTACTCCATATATAAAAGGGTTTTTACCAGCTGGCCTCCTGCCAACATGTAACATTCAAGTTGCAGCATGGACGCCAAACACTGGCAAACCCATGGTAGCACACCGCAACAGGAGTACTTTATGTAAACTTCATTGCTTCGATGTCAATATAACACTGCAGTACCAGTGTTCGGTAATCTGGCATCATATATCCACAGTGTAAGGATGTGGTGTGACGAAGAGATGAAGATGCGTCAATATTCGCGCATATCAATATCAATAATGAGGCGTTGAGATCATGAGTGTCACGTGTTTGACTTTTTTCTTCATGTTTCACTCATTTAGTTGGTAACTTCCTTCGACACGCATTTTTCATCGAATAGAGTATCTAGACATGTTCTACGGTACTAAAAACACTCCTCTTCCAGAATCGACCTAAGCTTTTTGTGCGAATTTGAGGTCTCTGTCGATCGAGAACCTCCCCGAGAAACTTCGGGTGGCTGTGAATTAAGGTTTTGTGCTTACTTAACGTCGAGCAGTATATTCGGGATTTTGCGAACGCACACCTCTTGCGTCATACGCAACCCATTCATTGATGACCTCCTTCAACTTCTCTACCTGGCCTCCACAGCTAAATCCAGAGCAATTAGAAGCTCTGACGCTCGCCGCAACAACATACGCGCTCTCGCACGGATTACTTTACCTTCCACCCTCCCAATCACCGTCCAATACCCAACCACGCATACCAACTACCGCAATCCATGCCCCCCTCTCACTCATTCCCGCGCCCTTCCCCCGTGCGCAATTCCAGGCTGCAAGAGAGCTGCAGAAAGTATATAACGTGCTCTACGCACGCGTAGCGATGGATACACAATTCTTAGATACAGTAATGGGTGCCGAGGAGGGCGTAGGAAAGGCGGATGAGTTTACTGGGACGTTATGGAGGGGATGGAAGAGGATCAGGGAGCACGGCGCACTAGCACAAGTACGTTTGGGACTTCTTTCTTTTATCTCATGGTGGGACATTGATAGCACATAGCCGTTGCACCTTGGCCTGTTTAGATCGGATTATCTGTTACATGCCGCGGAAGATAGACTTGCACTGAAGCAGGTCGAGTTTAATACTATATCTTCGTCCTTTGGTCCGCTTTCTGAGCGTGCGGCTGCTATGCACAGGCGTGTTTAGTTTTCAAGATATCTTTCGTAAACGCTGATGCGGTATAGAAATATCCTGGCGTCCACCTCCTATTTTTCTGCATCTCCACATCTTACTGCAGACAATTTTCCAGAGAACAGCACCACCTCTGGTCTCGTTGAAGGTCTTTCCAAGGCTCACGAAGCGTATGGCGTTCGAGAGTCAGTTCAAACTTCGTTCAAGTACGCATGTATCCGTGAATTCACATCGATCCAGGGCGCGCATCCTGTTCGTCGTGCAACCCAACGAACGTAACGTTTTCGACCAACAATGGTTAGAGTATGGATTGCTCGAGAGGTACATTCCCATCTCTCTCATCATCAACAGACTAATCCGCTAGAACAGACATCAAATCCACGTCGTCCGTCAAACACTCACCGACCTAGCCGTCTCTGCATCCCTCGACCCCTTCACACACGCACTCATAATCACATCCCCGACTAATGCCTCACCATACGAAATATCCACGATATACTTCCGCGCAACTTACACTCCCTCCGATTTCCCATCACCCTCCTACTACGACACGCGTTTCCTCCTAGAGCGTAGCCGCGCCATCAAATGTCCCTCTCTTCCCCTCCAACTTGCAGGCGGGAAGAAAGTCCAAGAAGCACTGACGCGCCCCGGGGTACTTGAGCGCTTCCTCAGTAACGAAGGCGCAAAATGGGGCGCACACGCTCTCGATCTCACAGCACATGCAGCAGATGTCCGGGCCACCTGGATGGGCATGTGGGCGCTCGACTCGGAAGATGTTGATATCGCCGCTGCGCTTGATCGCCTCCCGGATTCAGGACAAGCACAAGGAAGCGTACCGCCCGGAACACGTCTCGCGCGCCTTAAGGCCCAGTCGCTCGTGTTGAAGCCCCAGCGTGAGGGAGGTGGGAATAACGTCTACCGTGAAGCCATTCCTGCGTTCCTAGATACTCTGCCCGCTGAAGAGCGTGAAGCATGGATCGCAATGGAGATGATCGAAACACCACGCGGGGTGAGCGGTTATCTCGTACGCGCATCTCCGTCGAGTTCGGATACGGACAATGGGACCATAGAGAAGAAAGTCGTACGCGTAGAGGTTATCTCTGAGCTGGGTATCTTTGGGTACGCGTTATTTAGAGAGGGAGAGGTGGTGGAGAGGGAGGTGGGATGGCTTGTGAGGACCAAGGGGACAGAGAGTAATGAGGGCGGTGTAGCAGCTGGGTTTTCAGTGTTAGATAGCGTGGTGCTTGTTTGATGCATGTGATTTACAGGATGCATCAGTGGACTGGCGAGGTTATATACAACAATATATTGTGCAGAATCACGAGCATCAGAGCTATGGACCATCACATTGTCATATTTGACCTTTGATTTACCTACACATGGTTATGATCGGGAAAAGACTACCGCATTTCTCAAACTCGAAAGACGGAGCAAAAGCTAATAATCAATACGATCAACTGTGCGGGGTGAATTGCTATGGACTTCAACTTTAGGCTTTGTCACAGGATGGGTGAGCATCTGATCTCATTGTACTTTGACGGTGTGTGCAGTGGTCCATGGTAATAACCGCAACTGGGTCCGCCATATTGAAGTCATGCTGGAGAATTGCTTCTACTGCTGTTGAGATGGAGGAGCATACTCGCTTCATGAGAGGGATACTGATTACTTGAATGTGCAGGAGAAAACGGTTGCGATTGCGGTGCAGGAAATAGTAAATACTCATCGGCCCGTGCACCAAACGTATGTAAACCTTGCAACTACTTGCCTTCCAAAACAAGCGTAACACGTGTTACAGTGAATTTTCCACGCACAGACCATGAACAGAAAACTTTATAAACTTGTCCTGGAATATTCCTGTTTCTTCAGAACATACTCAGCTAGGATCTATTTTATAGAAACTAACTCGAGTCTCGCATGTTTACACATGCCACATCCTTCAATTCCGCTGGATGACACCAGCGCTCGCTCGTTCGACAGAGAATATGATTTCCCCTTGGGGGAATCTCGAGGACGTTTGGGTTTGCGCAGTGTCGGACTGCTTGCAGTCTGGTGAAGCCGAATCCAGCGAGTGGAGCGTCTGTCTGACGGAATTCTAGATAGATATGTATCTTGCAAATATGATGATATCCGATGTTCGTCTGAACTTATAGCGGCTAGTCCGATGTAAACTTTGTTTTCCCTGTGCATGTAGTGACAGGTCTGTCCTTGCAATTGTATTGTTGTGTCGTTGTGTTTCAAATGATACGACACTCACGATATCCATCCAGGGTCTACTATTCCATCCAGACTGTGCTGTATCCCTGCTAAGAAGTCCGCAGCGAACTCACGATCATCGGTGGCTTCCCTGGGCTGGGCTTCCCTGCATAGTGCTTGGTCTGTCAATGGATAAGAAATCTGTCAGAGCCGTCAATGTCATGATGCATTCACAACGCCAATCCGTGACGTCGAGTGTGCCTAGTATGCGGGCCGCCCCTAGCACCTGGTTGTATGGTTGCGAGAACAAATGACGCATATATAACAGCGCCAGATGTCCTCTTATCAACACCCTTCCCTGTCGTCCTTTCTTTCATTGTGATAAATTCCAGTCAAGTGCAGCAAATGTAAGTTTAATGCACAGACTTGGTATATTTTGATAGCGATTGAACTTGGGCACTCCCAGGCCCATACGCATCAAGTTATACACCATTCTTGTGGCAGACAGTACTTTCATGGCTTCTTATTTTGGCCTCGGGACAATAACACATATTATACTAGGTATCCTGATATACGACCATATGGCAACTGTCACAGATGAAATTACTTTTATCTGGTGTCGTCCAAAAGCACTATCTGCAATTTTATTCCTCATCAATCGCTATGTCGCTCTACTCGGCAACGTCTTTATGTTGTTTACGTATCTTCTGCCCATTTCACATGAGGTTCTATGGTTTCGTTATGCGCGTACCCAATTGGCAGGCTCACATCGTCTTTCCGCAGAGGTTTCAACTCTTGTTCTTCAACGTGTTGTTTTTCTCAACAAAGACCTAGCTGTCGGACATATTTTACATCAAAAGATGTACTCTTTTTTTCCCAACAAATATTCGTTTGTTGTAAGTGGATTTTTATGGCGAGAAATACATGTATTGACATTGCCAGTTATATTGACTCTTCGCACTTATGCTCTCTACTGCCGTAACAAACGCCTCCTCACTTCGATGATAATCATCGTTTGTGCTCTTGGGGGAGTGACTGTATGTGTTCGCATAAGTATTTACTCTGGCAGTCTACTTATGGTTATAGGCGGGAACATTTGGACTCCGTTCAAGCGCCGTCGTGCTAGGAATGAATTGCCTTGACTCATACACAAAAGAGATGTGCGCCATTTTCCTCTCCGTTCCGTGCGCTTGCTCAAAAGATGTCGCAGAGCCGTCAGTTAGTGGTTTCTGAGTCGGACTCGCGTCGAATGTAATGCTATGACTTATTAAATTACAGGTCCTGGGTTGGGATGGGTGACACTACTCGTCTACGAATTACTCGTATTTGTCCTCACAGTTTGCAGGATATGCAAAATTAGAGGACTGTCATTGGCAATGTCGAGGGGACACATGCTTGATGTCATGTTTCAAGATGGTAAATTTCGCTTCATCGGTATCGTAAACATTGATTCCAGCAAATGCAGGTGCCGTGTATTTCGCGTGAGCTTGCCAGGGAAACGGCAATTCGAGTAAATCTGACCCGTATTCCTTCAGGGTGATGACGTTGTTTAATCTACTCAACATCCTGACGTACTACGTGAGTCCACTAACAAAATATTTGTCGAGTTGCACGCTCACTCTTTGGCTCAGTGTGGTTCAGTGAGCACACACCCGCTTCTTGTGATAATTGACTAACTATTGCTGAAGAATACCACCAGAGGCAGTCTGGCCACATTTACTAGCTGGTGAGTATCTGGTGCGGTAGACACAGATTAATTCTGACTATGCACTCTAGCATATCCGTGACTCTCGTCTCTCGGCTGATGCTCAATCTGCACAAATCTGTCGATACAGGCATTCTTACTACCCCTGTCCAAGATGATGACTACGATTCCATTGTCCTTACTACTAGGATCAACGTACAGTCCACGATTTCCTCTCGCCAATGCTAGGTCGATATTTCTGGATTTGTATATTTGTATTGGAAGTGGAAAGTTAATATCGGGGTAGTATCCAGATGCGCAGAGACGAAGCCTGTTAACCTACAACGTGTTCCTTTCTTCTTTATATTTAACGTATTGTGCTCGCACACCCCGTTTTCCTCGACGCACGGTTAAACCGAATCTCATATCTCTACTTTCGTCGATCCGAGTCGTGTTTTGCAACGCCCATGTTTTTTTACTCGCATTTTCGTCTCGCGCAAACATTGACGTTGGCACTCGTAGTGCGACGGTGATCATCTGCCCTAGTTCCCGTATTTACCGGCATCTTCATCAGTGTACGGTGAATTACCGTAGCATAAAGTTTATTGTACGCTACAAGATAGAGTCAACTACCGATAGCAATGTCAGCTCGAAGGGGGCAATTGACCTCTTTTGTACAAGTCGACCGGCACAAACGTCGACGAAATGGATCCCGCCGTCAGACAGCGTCATTCTGCCACCAAAAGTAAAGGTCGAAAACAGCACTCTTTCGCCGTCGACCGGTTGTTTGTCCTGATGGAGGGTAAGAGCTTGGTAAGAATTGCTCGACATTGAAAAATATAGCTCTAAGATTTTTTCGTCGCCGATAAAATAGACACCATTGTGAAAGGTGTATCAGTACCACCGAGATCACGAACGTCACCAGTTGCAGGTTGATCACCAGTAGTGTCGAGTCCGTCTCAAGTATATATAGCACCTTGCTGCTTGCTGCTTGCTTTGCTTGTCTCTGATCGTACTAACGACGATTCAGTGAACATTAACCATCCAGATACTGTGACACATACACCACCATTATTTGCGAGTCAAGTCTTGCCCATGTCGTGTCCGTCCCATCCACCAACATTGTGCCACATCAAGCTTCACCCGGTATTGCGCAAGTTACACGAAGGACACGTCACTGGGTAACCTTGAATGTCAATCAGCTAAGCTGGACAGAATTGCAAAGTGAGGACTTGACCGATCTTCTGATAAACTGATAGGTAACAGCCGTGCCACGGCCACGACCGGCGCGACCGGCAGAAATGAGTCAAGGGAGGAGGCCAGCAAAATGAACAGTCACAGAATGAAACAGTTGTTCCTTATGGGGTATAAAAGCTGGTCGCCTTCCTATATTTTCCCATCCTCGGAGAGATCATTCGAGATCCCCTTCAGAATATTCCATATCACCTCGTACAGAAAATGCGTTTCTCCTTCCTCGCCGCTGTTGTTGCTTTGACAGCATCTATGTCTGTCAGTGCATGTAGCGACGGAACCCCTTGCAATACAGATAAAGATTGCTGTCCGCACCAGCTTTGTTCACCTGACGTGAGTATGAGCAGGACAACCAGGATTCAACCACGTGACTCACTGCACGCCTTAGATGTTAGGATCGTATTGCATGCAGAAGTATGTTGGTTGAAGATTGAGCGCTGAGCCGGCGACCAGAGCGGCACGTCGTGACAGTGAGCCATGCTTCTGCCGTCGCTTCGGTGTCATGGTTGATGGCGGAATACCTAGTTCAGAGTCGATCAATATGGTTACTTCTCAAACTTCGATACTGTTCGAGCAATGTGAACCTTTGAACATCTAAAGAACTTCATAGTATGAGATATATATCGTCTTGAATACATGACACATGCGTTCTGAAGCACCACGTACTTTCGGTCTGGGTGTAAGGGAATCCCGTACTGAAGTACCGGAAGCATGCCAGAATCTGGAAAAGCAATAGATATAGTACATGATTGTATATTGGAAGGGACCGTCCTTCCCGTTTATCCCGTTCGTTCTGTCCGTACCATCCACCCTAAGTGATTTTGCTACGGGGAACGCCTCAGAATTCTTTCTAAATCTTTTCAGGTTGTGGGCCAGCTTTGGGCGTCACCGGGGGGCGCAAACTGGCGAATAATATGTCCTTGAAGCCTGTTGCCAAATAATTTGACAAATGTAGACATGATCTCTAGATTTCAGCACGATCATGGTTTGTTGGATCATGGGGACAGACTCGACAACCGTCCGTCCTTGTTCTGTTTGTGTAACAGTGTTTGTACCGTTCAACCTTACATAATTTGGCTGAAATGCTCGGAACTATTTTTTGCCTCATCACCGGCCCGTACAAATGAACTCTCAAGCTGCTCTACCCGGCGCTGATAACTTTGCTTCAAGCGGAGGCAGATCTGGTTCAAGCTTGCGCCTTCTCCAGAGGCTCATTTTTGCCGCCCGTCTCACGAATGATATGAGCTTCAAGTTGCATAAAAGATTCAGATCTGTCTTGACTGACATGTCAACTTGGTTGAACGCTCGTAGCATCTGGCAACGTTCTGATTCTTCCGAAGCTAGCTCTTTGTAAGGAAGAGCTTTGATCATGGATCATCCCATGTCCATGCGCTACAACGACGTGCCAGGGAAAATCATGCACAGCATCATGATCATATGCTCTGGACTCTCCAACTACTTCAAGTTCGACGTGTGACTAACCCTTGTTAACCGTGTGTGTAACTGAATTTGCTTTGCACATGTAGCACGTATTGTCCCAGCGTTCTCGTTGACACCCTTTCTCTTGGGTTGTGCTTTACAATGCAATGTATAATAGTGAGGCACAGCAGATGTGAGTGATGCATGGTTTAACTACGTGACTTGATAGTGACTCAACATGCCTAGTTTGATGCACTCGTATGCCGTTCTCGTGGCAACCAGTACAAAGCCTTTTTATAGTTGAGGCCCTCATGATAATGACACGATATTCCAGGTATCCTGGTGTATGACCATGCAGCGACCCTCACGGAAGAAATCACTTTCATCTGGTATCGTCCGAAAGCACCATCTGCAATGTTATTTCTGCTCAATCGCTATGTCGCTCTGCTCGGAAATATGTATGGTTTATTGATCAATTTCCTGCCTGTTCCAAAAGAGGTTCGATAATTTCATTGCGCGTATGCCAAACTGACGGGCTCACAACTTACTTCCGCAGAGGTTTCAACTTTGGTGCTCTAATTTTTCTTGTTTTACTTAACGGAACATAGCTGTCCGAAATATTTGCTGTCCAGAGAACTCCTCATTTTTTGTCAACAATTCATCGTTTGCCGTGAGTTTATTTTCATGGCGAGAGCTACATATACTGAAATTTCAAGTCATATTGGGTCTTCGGACTTATGCTCTCTACGGCCGTAGCAAGCATCTGCTGATTTGGATGGTAGTGGCCGTTATTACTCTTGCAGGAGTAGCTTCTGTGCGTGTTCACACATAACGTTCTACTCTGAGAGCACTAACGGTTTCAAGGCGGGAATATTTGGACATTTTTCAAGCACTGTGATCGTCACGCCAGGAGTTATCTGCTACGAATCAGATGTAACAGTGACGTACGTCATCTTCTTCACCATTCTGCACACCTGCTCAAAACATCGTTTCAGGCCAGTCAGTCAGTAAACGCGAGTCAGATTTGTATGAACCATGATTTCATGATTTTATCCGATTACAGATCCTGGGCTGGCATGGGTGGCTCTATTTGCCTACGAATTACTCATCTTTGTCCTCACATTGTCCAGGATTTTCAAAATTAGAGGAATGCTGCGGTCACCGTATCTGATAATGTCCAGGAAAAACACCGTTGACATCATATTCCAAGATGGTAAAATTTCCGTTGTATCTGTACTGGAAATACTGATCTAAGCGAACGCAGGTGCGATGTATTTCGGGTGAGGTTGCTGAGTAAAATTGTGATTCTATGTAGTGGATCTGATCCGTGTTCCTTCAGAGCGATGACACTATCTAATATACTGAACATCGTGATGTTCTACGTGAGTTGGCCAATGAGATACTAGTCGAGTCGCACGCTTACACATTGATTTAGTGCGGTACAGTGAGCACCCAGCCGTATTTTGTGACTAGTTCTTGACAGTTGGCAAGGGTATCAACAAATTCAGTCTCGCCACATTTACCAGTTGGTGAGTAGTTCAACGTGCGATAAAAATGAATTTATTTTTACATCGCTCTCCAGTATATCCGTGACTCTTGTATGTCGACTGACGCTTAACCTGCACAAATCTATTGGCACTGGCATTTTCACCACTCCTATCCAGGATGATAACCACGATTCCTATATCCTTACTACCCATCTATCCACGCGCAGTCTTTGATTTCCTAATAGAATATTGTGTCGAGCCTGTCTGTACTTCTTCACGTGTGATACCTAGGCCTAAGCACTTGTACTGTGATTGCAAATATGTACCGTGGTAAGTATCAAGCCGTTTAACGGAAACCATCAGATGTTCCAGGCCAATGGAGAGCTTTGGCCTCAGCAGCTGCTCAAACCCATTAGTCTCATAAGAACCATATCCTCTGACACAAGTCGATGCGTTTTGGAATACCATGCGTCAAGCCTGAGATATATTACACGCCTCACTTTCGCCTTCATCGTCAGTCAACCACCATTTCCTTTCCTGCGCCCGAACCTTGTTCATCCCGTGCACCTGCTCAGAAACATGCTTCCACCGCTCAGCATAGATCCCTGCATTAAGGCGCCGACTCATCACTACCGAATCCCATGCGACGATGGTGGTAAGGTTCGGAAAGATGTCGGAGAGAAACGCTGCGACTGCTACAGTGGCGCACGCCTCGATCAGGGAGTCAGCGAGACCTATGGTTCGCATGGCTGTGTTTTCTATCCCTTCACGGTCTGATGGCACCTCTAGGAACGCATCTGTGTTCAAAGCAATACAAAGCTTTTGAAGCTCGGGACAACAGTCAAGCATCGCGATGAGGCCTATCTGAGTGATGCCAGACTTGGCGCGCCATCCAGCTGTGTCGTTGAGGGAGAAGGAATAGAGGTGGGGCCATGCAGAGACCAGCGACTGGAGGTCGTCATCATCGAGGTGGATACTGTGATTGATATCGATGTCTATCCTGCCCAGGCTCTCAAAGCAGGTAAGGGGTATGAAGTCACCCAAAGTGAAAGTGTGACATGCAAGTCCGGAAGTCGAAATGCCACCCGAAGTAGAAACGCCACCCAAAGGCAGAACATGAAATCCATTCGGGGCCAGCGGAGGCTGGTAGCCCACACTGATTGGATAGCCCATCAGATTTATATTGGGTGGCGCCATATAAGGTCCTACATTAGCTTGGAGTTGTGGATAGCCGAATAGCTGCAGGGGATGTGATGGTAAGACCCGAGGACTTGGCGGGGTCTTCAATCGCAGGCTCAGATCTTGCAAATGAGTACTCGAGAAACGCCTCAGAGCAGTAAAAAGTGAAGTAATACTGGTGGGTGGCGGATTGATGTCCACTAGCACGTGCATAGAAGCGGGCGATCCTCCAAGCCTGTTGAAGAATGGGTCTAAGAAAGACATATTTGCTGCGTGGATCTCGAAGTCGCGGACACATGAAAATGCCCCTGAAGGCAAAGACGAGTCCAGTCCGAGTCCTGCGTTGTTGATTATATTGAATGAAAGCTTGCGAAGAGCTGGTTGTTTGGCGAGATGTAAAAGTGCGTTACCCTCAATTGCTCCACATTTGATCTCTTTGAGATTATTCCACGCGCAAAGGGCTTCCGATAGAGAGGGAAAAGTGTCGGTGGGCAGAGTCACTTCTGTGACGTTGGGACAAACGTAGGGCAGCGAAGCCAATATGCTGAGCTCTGGTATATGCCATTTACGACTATTATTTGTGATGGTTATCGCCAGGGAAGTAACTGTGGGCCCTGAAAGCGTGCGAATGAACGAGAAAGTCTCAGCTCTTTCGTCATTCCAGATGATTGATTTCAAATTTGGAAACAAAGGCGAGTTGGTTGGGGGGTGGCAGAGAGAGAGAACGACTGAGACATCTACTGGCCGAGCAGGGTTATGGACACATAGGTGCTCGACACGACGTGCAAGGCCGCGAAGCACCTCCCATTCTGCCATTTTGAGTGGCCTCCTAAGCTTTGACACGGGTTGTGGCCATGTCTACATAAGTTCTCGAAGTTCGGATCACCTGTCATAGTGATCCAGGGCAAAGAGCTTACCGCGGTTTCTGCGGTGAAAGTCAGGTCGGAGGCCAAGGGTTGTAGTAATGGTGCGAGTCCGTCCAGTCGCGACCATAGAACTCTGGTGGCCACATGATGGAAGACCTTGGAGGTTCTAGCAAGAGAAGCAAGAGTTCTTCCTGCGGCAATACTGCCTGTGTGGTCGTTCTGCACATGTTCACATATGATATAAAGAAGCTCTTGGATAAGGAAAAGTCTGTGCATTCGCGCGCGTTGTGGTGGCGAATGCGACACGTATTGAAAGATGTCACTGGCTCCCTCTGAATCCATTTCCTGTGCACCAGCTTGAGTGTTGAATATTGAGGCGGTGCAAGAAACAGATGGACCCCGAAAGTCCGTCAGGAACTAGTAGAGTAAGTAGTAGTAGAGTTGTAGGAAAAAGGGTTTTCGTGATTTCTCGCGTAAGGAATTTAAGGTAAGGACCTCGATGTTTATTTATATAGCTCTTATATGAGATATATATATGCATCATATACGCACTCTCACATTCATTTACGCCTTCAGATTCAGTGGCAGAATTCGCTGTTCACGCACTGGTAAGACCATCATGATCATGGCCTGCGGGAGATTAGACAAAATATCATCACATTTCCGTGTTCGATTATGATACAAAAATTTTGAAGACCACCCGATCACTCCGAGATTAGGTCAAATACTGAATGTTAATCGACCCAGCCTTCAATGATTGTTTATTCCGGAACCGCCATACTTCCACCCTCATACATACCGAGCGAAAGATCAGAGCTCCTGCACTGTACTTCGAATAAGTAAGACCTGGTAGCCAACCGTTCCCTAGAAAATCATGAACATCGAACTGGGAAAGTCGGCATCCATTGATGGCCAAGTTAATCAATGTACAAAATCTTGAACAAAAAATGCACCTGTTTTATTCGTTGCGGCGCCACCTCCTTTCCTGTTGTCGAATTCTGATCATTCCCCTGATTTGCTGAGAAACGCCTTCCCAACGAGTGGCGTGCACTATCGGGTCCGCGTCCCGTCGGGTACGCATTCGATCCGACTTCCAAGCTGTAACCTCATTGAGCCTGGGGAATATATCGGACAAGAATGCAGCGACTGCGGTAGTTGCGTGAAGTTGGATAACCGAGTCTGCAAAAGCAAGTGTCCGGATATTCATATTTTGGACTCCACCTCCTGGGCGATCCAAAGGCACCTCTGTAAACGTGTCGGTATCGATTGCAATGCAAAGAGTATGGAGTTTGGGGCAACATTGAAGCATCTCAAGCAAGCCAATTTGGGTGATGTCAGATTTTACGACCCAACCATGCATTTTGTTGATACTCAAGATCCGGAGGTGAGGCCATGCAGCCGCCAAGGATGCCAGATCTTCGTCTGTGAGATGTATACTGCAATTCACGTCAATCACCAAGGTGTCGATGCTACCAAACTGGGCGAGAGGCATGAAATTACTGCCATGAATGCTGGTGTGGGATGGCTGTCCGTTAGAACGATTACCAGTAGGTGACAGCGGCGGGGGTTGAGCCACAGAGAGCATTCGTATACCAGGCAGACTCTGCAATGAGATATTCTCCAGCTTGACTCCCACGTAATGCTCCGTGAGAAAGGCAAAAAATACTCCCATGTCGCAAGGGGTTGGACCAGCATCCACTCGACCACGGATACATATGGGATGTATCTCTAGTTTCTGCATGAAGTCGATCAAGGAAGGTAGTTCAGCTGCATGAACTTCCAGTTCACGGAGGCGCGAAAAAGTATGCGGAGATAGAGGGTGGTCTGTCACATCTTGAGAGATGGATTGTGATAATGTAAATGCAAGTTTGCGTAAGTAGGTTTGTTTGGCGAGATGACGAAAGATGACAATATCGATTTCACCACATGTGACTTCCTCGAGGTGGTTCCATGTGCGAAGCATGTTTGGAATTAGAAAACCGGGGAGACTGGAGGGAAGGGTGATGACTTTGACAGCAGGGCAAGTGGCGGGAACAGCATTCCATATAGCAGATGCAGCCGCATCCCACCGAGCAGTTCCAGTACTCGAACAATCAAACTTAAGGGATGTCAGAAGGGGTCCACATAGAGTTTGTAAGAAGCCCATAGTTTGGGGTCTACTGTCATTCCAGACGAGCGAGCGTAGATTCGGGAATAGTGGGGACGTGCCAGTAGGTGGACGGGAAAGTGTAAAGATGACGGATGGTTCTACAGGACGAAGGGGGTTTAAGACACGCAGACGCTGAACACGACTAGCATAGCGTTGAATGATGTCCCATTCTGCTTTTCGAGGTGCCCGTTCAATACCAACCACTGCTGTACCTAGAGGCTAAGGAGATGATAAATACTCGATGAATTGAATACTACTGTAAACAACAAACGACATACCAGACGCCAATACAATCGAGTGACTTCTGCAGGCAAGCATTGGATTAGGGGCGCAACGCCGTCGAGATTTGACCAGAGAGCATTCAATGCCACCGCATGAAAGGCCTTACAGGTTCTGGCAAGACGTGCTAGAGCCTCTTTGGAAGCATTTGGGATATCGTCTTCATCATACAGATGCTCACAAATTATCACGAGTAGTTCATGCACGAGGAATAATCTGTGCATTTTGCCAACAAGGAGTCAAGGCCTAGTCAGCTAGTCCCTGACTGATACCATTTGGTATATTTATTTGGTCTTGCTTGCGACTGGGATTATTCATACTCAGCTCGCTGTCGGTCACGATGTTCACGACTTTGTTCTGCACCACCAGCACCCTCCACCATGTCAGCTCCCAACTCTCCAAGACTCGTCGACTCGTTTACCGCACCAAGGGAAATATTACAGGAGTTTGCAGATCTTGCGGAAGAAGAGAATTTTGATCCATTCGCAGAAACAGCCTCAAAACGTCAGATTGCGGCACGGCAGTCCGACTACCACAACCGTCGCTTCAGTCGTGTTGCTCAGGAGAGTGCAGATGCTTTTAAACCCGTTGAAGATGGTATGGAGGTGGAAGGAGGATACAAAGAGGCGATGAGACTGGCTAGGTTGGAGCAAGAGGAAGCAAGAGTCAGGCGGGCGATTGAAGAGAAAGAGAGGCAGGAAAGAGAAGAGGGAAAGATGAAAATGGACCTCGACAAGACCCCTCCTCGTGCCGAACTCGAGGATGTCGCCATGGAGCTTGCCGCTGCAAGGGAGCTCGCGAACTCTCGTGAAGCTACTTCTGGGACCAAACGTAAACGGAGATGGGACGTTCCCGAGCCTGCGGACGAGAATGTTGACCCTAATAAGACTGATAAGAACGAATGGTCGAAAGAAGCTTTGGAAGCATCTGCGCCGAAAAAGCGTCGTTCTCGCTGGGACGCTACTCCGGCAGAGGCTGTCGGTGAGACACCTAAGAAATCTCGCTGGGATCAAGCTGCTGTCATTCCGGAAGCCCCAATGACGCAGATAATAATGAATGCGCCGGGTATCATGCAGGAGGATAAACATAATCGTTATCTCAGTGATGAGGAGTTGGATGCTATCTTGCCGGCTACCGGGTATGCTATTGTTACTCCTCCCCCTGGGTATGCACCAATGGTAGCTCCCCGCAAGCTTATGGGTGCACCGGTCACAGAAGTAGGTGGCTTCCATATCCAGGAGGGTTCAGACGCTGCAGCAGTGGCTGCCGCCGCCGGCCTCGCGCCTGAACTTCCCACCGAAATACCTGGTGTCGGTAGTCTTGCATTTTTCAAGGCCGAGGATGCTCAGTACTTCGCCAAGATTCTTAAGGAGGAAGACGAAACGGAGCTTTCAGTGGATGAGATGAAGGAGCGCAAAATCATGCGTTTACTTTTGAAGATAAAAAACGGTACTCCTCCTGTACGAAAAACTGCCCTCCGTCAAATCACTGACAAGGCCCGCGAGTTTGGTGCCGGTCCTCTTTTTGACAAGATCCTTCCCTTGCTCATGGAACGTACTCTCGAGGATCAAGAGCGCCACCTACTTGTGAAGGTTATCGATCGTGTCCTCTACAAGCTCGATGACCTTGTCCGTCCGTACGTTCACAAAATTCTCGTTGTCATTGAGCCGCTCCTCATTGATGAGGATTACTATGCTCGTGTGGAGGGTCGGGAGATTATATCCAACCTTTCCAAGGCTGCCGGTCTCGCACACATGATATCCACTATGCGTCCTGACATTGACCACGCCGACGAGTACGTTCGTAACACCACCGCTCGTGCATTCTCTGTCGTTGCCTCCGCGCTCGGTATCCCCTCGCTCTTGCCTTTCCTGAAGGCCGTATGTCGCAGTAAGAAATCGTGGCAGGCGCGGCATACCGGTATCCGTATCGTGCAACAGATCGCTATCATGATGGGTTGCGCCGTCTTGCCCCATCTTCGCAATCTCGTGGCCTGCATTGCTCACGGTCTGCAGGATGAGCAGCAGAAAGTGCGGACCATGACTGCACTCGGTCTTGCCGCCCTTGCTGAAGCAGCTGCGCCCTACGGTATCGAGTCCTTCGATGAGGTGCTGAAGCCACTTTGGCTCGGTATTCGTCTGCATCGTGGCAAGGGCCTTGCTGCCTTCTTGAAGGCCATCGGCTTCATTATTCCCCTCATGGACCCCGAGTACGCATCCTACTACACCAAGGAAGTCACAGTCATTCTCATTCGTGAATTCCAAACCTCTGACGAAGAGATGAAGAAGATCGTCCTCAAGGTGGTCAAGCAATGCGCAGCCACTGAGGGTGTCACTCCTCAATATATCAAGCAGGATATTCTACCCGACTTCTTCAGGGCGTTCTGGGTTCGCCGTATGGCGCTTGATAGGCGAAACTACCGGCAGGTTGTAGAAACGACTGTCGAGCTGGCGCAGAAGGCTGGGGTGTCCGAGATAGTCGGCAGAGTTGTGAATGAGCTGAAGGATGAAGCTGAGCCTTACCGAAAGATGGTCATGGAGACAATTACCAAAGTCGTCGCCATGCTCGGTGCTTCAGATATTGACGAGCGGCTCGAGGTCCGTCTCGTTGACGGCATCATCTACTCCTTCCAGGAACAGACCACCGAGGATCAAGTCATGCTTGATGGCTTCGGTACAGTGGTCAATGCCCTTGGTATTCGTGTCAAGCCCTATCTCACGCAGATTGTCTCTACCGTGCTCTGGCGGCTCAATAACAAAAGCGCTAAGGTCCGGCAACAAGCTGCAGATCTCACGACGAGGCTGGCTGTCGTAATAAAGCAGTGCGGTGAAGACCAACTTCTCAGCAAGCTGGGCCTCGTTCTTTTCGAGCAGCTTGGTGAAGAATATCCCGACACTCTCGGTAGTATCATTGC